CATTTTCCTAGAAATACTTAGCCAATATGCTCTAGCAAGCTTCTTTTTAAGTAAGCATGTGCTCTTTTCAGTGGATTGATTTATCCTCGTCGCCAAATGTAATAGATTGATGTTTTTGTAATGATACACTGGACGATAGAGCCACGTTGATGTATCTAGACTTTATTCAGCTACCGGAAGACACATTACATACAAGGGACATCACTCAAAACAACATTATAAATATAAGACTAATACAAGAAGAGTGAGTTCCCTTTGCTTCACAATTCTCAATATATTACATAACCTAACACAGTAGTGTAGCAGGACAGGGGCCTCATAATTGAGGCGTGACAGAATGACAAAAACTCGTAAAATTTACCGCCAAAACTATGTTTAATTCAGTTAAAATAATAAGATATTAATTAGAGGGTGTAAGACTCCACCAGAAATTCAAAATAGCTGGATGGGGTGGGGGTGACACTTACTAAACGCACCGGATGATATTGAACCTTGTGACGCCACTAACAAAATGCACATTTTAAAAAGTTGTTCATGATTTATTTAGATTTGTTTTTTTTCTTTCTTATAAGTTTTCAAAATGATTAATATGTTCCTTGAAGTCCATTTAAGCTGCTTCTGTATGATCGATACTTAGGATGGCCAAGTTACTGGCCCAAAGGGCATATCTACAACTTGTTTCATAACATCATAATAATGTAGAGACTCGGGGCGCCTATTTGTATACTACTGCCGAGGCGACTGGAGGACACCCCTTTATTTTCTTTAGCCTTTGACTATAGTAGCCCTCTGTATCCCTCGGGCATGGCGCTCATTAAAACAAGTGTATGCGCCGTAGTGCTCACGGGGGGAGCCCGGGGCGCCGGCTGATGCACCTGCGCAGTTTGACCTTTGAATTCAGCAGTAACCCTGAATTTAGAAATTAACTGACCTCAGGTGCTAAGAAAGCCGCTGGGAAACTCTGGGTGGCAAACTGAACCGCCTTACTGTCAAGGAGTCGCTCTACGAACGAAATAAAAAAACATTAATGGCAGAAAGCGTTACAGAAGTCAGAGTTTTGCTTCTGGCTTCTCTTCGATGGTGAGGCACTGCACCTCTTGTGGTAGGAAATTTCACGCTCAGCAGAGGTTTTTCTGAATTATTCTAAACGACTTCCCAATGTTTCTTGGCGATTGGATCGTTTTTGTATTAATGCATAAAGGACAATGAGACAGACAAGCAAAAATTTTTAAGTAGCGGCATATTAATTACAGATAAATTAGATCAACAATCAAATTCTGATTAAGGTTAAAACAAACAGAAAAACATTGACAAATTTTCGACGTAGCTTGTTGTGAAAACACAGTCCACGACTGTTAACCAAAAAATGGCTCAATTGTAATCATGGACGGATGGAATTTCTTTGATGACAGAGAGTTGAGAGGGGATGGGGCTGCAGGTTTGTGGCGGTGGGGTAGAGAATTTTTAGTGATGCGTATAAATTTGCGGGTGCCGTTTGCCAATCTAACAAAAGAGTCTTCTTTTAACGGCTTTCCCGACAATGCAATAATGCCTATAATGTTATTATTACCGATGGCCCTGTACAACCCATCCCCAGTAAGAAAGGTTTGTGGGCTTTTTTGGAACTTTTGATTACTTCTACATTAGAAAAGAAACTTGATTTTCGTTTTCTTTTTAAAACTAGCCACAGGTACCCGTTTCACGTGGATTATAGGCCTATATATTTTAAAATGTTTTACTTGTTTGAGAAAATAATTTATGAAATAGTTATTGGTCAAAACGCAATGTGCTTTACTACACACTAAAATTACGCTAGCTTTACGGTAGCTACGCCACTGGTGGCCAATGATGTACCAGTGGCCAAACGTCTTGCCGTGTAGATATGTTCTTCATTCCAGTGGCCATTATCTTTGTGCCCCGATGCTTGTACCAGTGGCCTGATGTCTCGTTCCAGTGGCCCATTGTCTCGTTCCAGTGGCCCGATGTCTCGTTCCAGTGGCCCATTGTCTCGTTCCAGTGGCCCGATGTCTCGTTCCGGTGGCCCATTGTCTCGTTCCAGTGGCCCATTGTCTCGTTCCAGTGGCCCGATGTCTCGTTCCGGTGGCCCATTGTCTCGTTCCAGTGGCCCATTGTCTCGTTCCAGTGGCACGATGTCTCGTTCCAGTGGCCCATTGTCTCGTTCCAGTGGCCCATTGTCTCGTTCCAGTGGCCCGATATTATGCTGGTGGTCTGATATCTCGTTCCGGTGGCCCGATGTCTCGTTCCAGTGGCCCGATGTCTCGTTTTTGGTAATTTTTTACTTGTATTAGGAATTCAAGTGGCCAAGTCTTATTTGTATTGTTTCTTTTGCTTTGGCTTTTAACATATATATCTTTGTGACGTCAAATGAAGATAAATAAATGTATTAACTGTGTGTAACTAAGTTTCATTTTTAGTTTAATATTTGTGTTGTTTAGATGTGTAGTTAGTTTTGCTCAGGTCTGGTAAACCTTCCGTTTTTCCAATGGGAATGCACGGATTTGAGAGAATAATACCATCACCATATCTCTCTCTTTAATCGGGGAACCCCCTTAACATACATTTCATAGCGTACTGCTAATTGATAAGTAGATCTAAATCAAATTTGAATGAAATAGTCTAGTTCATTTCTTTTTAGTCCAAAATTGAAAGATGACGCCATTAGTTTTGTGTTCTTTTCTTAGACTTGTATGTCATGTTACGTTATTGTTTATTGCGTTTTTGTCACGACAATAAACGCTTTAGTTAGAAATTTGTTTCTACACTCGAAAAAGCCTTCATTTTTATTTTCTTTCTTTAAAAAAAGTTTAATTTAGACAATTTATAACAAAAGTCCGTATCTTTAAGCTCTCCATATATCGCTGAACATGCTGACGACGTTGTCAAAAATATTGCGGAGAGAGAGAGAGAGAGAGAGGGAGAGAGAGAGAGAGAAAGAAAGAAAGAAAGAGAGAGAGAGAGAGAGGGGGAAAAGTGCGCACATAAGTTTTTATATATTAGGAGTGTTACAAGCGCATTCCACATACAGAAATCAGTTAGACAATGTTGTCCTTTATCTCCCCTACTACACATCCTTAGCCTAGAACCCCTACTAGAAAACATTAGACAGGACAACTCCATTAAAGGACTGTACATTTCAAACACGGTGGGCAAGAAAATACTAACTTACGCAGACGACACTACTTTCTTAGTACAAACAGTAAAAGCAATACAGACTGTAATAGAAAAATTCAACAACTTTGGGAAAGGAAGCGGGGGCAAAATAAACGCAGAAAAATCTTAAGTGATGGGGATGGGTAAATGGAAAGGTAAAGATAATTATAACATAGACATCACAATAACAGATTAACTCAGAATTTATGGAATAACTAATAACAACGATCCCACAACAGACGACCAAGAAACTTGGGCCATACTGAACAATAAAATAAATCACAATCTGTAAAATACCAATACTGCAGTACAAATCTTTGCCAGAGTTGCATTAGTAAACAGATATATCATTCCAAAAATAATTTTCGTAGCGACAAACCCTACACTACCAAACTCATTTATTAAGCAAACAAATAAGCACACTAGAGAGTTCATTTTCAAAAACACGATTAGAAACATAAGCCACAAAACCGTAATATAAACAAATTAAATGGAATTATAGCGCTACATGACATTCATACTAAAATAAACACCATCCGATTAAAACATCTGTATAGAATAAGGATAGAACCACATTATCATCCATTAGCACAATCCTACACAGGGTAAGCATAAAGAGTATTCTAAAATTAAACATCACAACTCCACACTCTAGGGGAAATGACATAGGCAGCTTTTATAAAGAAACGCAAGCAACATTCCAAGGAAACAAAAGCGTTACTGGGGAAGACACAAAAAATATATGACATTAAACAAAAAACGACACCCTTATACACCAGAATTAGTTGGGCCAGGGATCACAATATAATATACATTAAAGATACATTTAGAAACCTACATAATAAAAGCATCACACCAAAAGAAGGGGAAGTAGCATACAGACTGATTTTTAATACTTTCTTAGTACAAACAGTAAAAGCAAATACAGACTGTAATAGAAAAATTCAACAACTTTGGGAAAGGAAGCGGGGTCAAAATAAACGAAGAAAAATCTAAAGTAATGGGGATGTGTAAATGGAAAGGTTAAAGATAATTATAACACACATAATTAAAATCTTTTTAAACGCTGTCAAATTAAGAAAATAAAGCAGTTTGTTTTCTATTGTAAAGGCTTAGGTCACCATAAAGTGGAAGAGATATCATAAGCGACAAAACTATAATTTTCTTATTTTACTGCATGGTAATGTGTGTTCTTATTAAAAATAGTTTTTAGTGTCTCAGAATAGAGGAATTTATTATTGTATTGCATTAGGTATCTATATATATAATTCTCCTCATGGAGGGACCATGCGGGACACCACCACGTTTACGCACGCCGAATCACCCTCTTCCTCGCTCTACAGGCATGCTCAACAGACCATACCGCTTCCACCATCACCCTCGCCAGTCTGTTGAGCTGCGGTTCACCCCGACAGTTTACAATCTTAGAGCCGGATCTAATCCGGCTATTAGGGGCAGATAATTTTGTTTTTAAACGGTTTGAAACAAAGGGAAGGTAATAAAAAGTTCTGCTTGAAATTTTCATTTGGTATGTAAACTGTCGTCACGGGCGGCTGCTTTCACGGGGGCGGGCGGGGATGGGGAAAGGGATGGTGAGGAATAGTGAGGATAATCGTCCTATTGTCCTTGACGAGCTACTGATAGTGTTTTAAAGCAAAATATTTTCAGTTGCAGCATTGGTAGTGTCGAAGTGGACAATAAAACAACTAAACAGCGGCGTATACTACGTAGCGGGTCGGCTCGTTTTATTTAATTCAGAGAGTTGAAGATAATTAACCTACGAGTATATAGCTTGTAGTTACTATTTCTGATAGTTTTGTGTGGCTTAGGTTTGGAAATTGCACATAAAGATTCTCACAATGAATTTGATGGCCTGACATATTACAAAGGAAAAGCCAGCGTTCGCAGCTATTACTGTGATAACAATATGGGCTACAGAATGGATGGAGAATTACATATTTGTGGTAAGTTTGTGTTTGGCTCTATATAGACCTAAACACGATAACTTGAAAGATTTCCGTGAATCGGAAGTGGTACGTACTCTACTTTGAGTAGCGTTTAAGTAAGGTGGACGAAATTTCAAATATACATATTAAATTGTATGTGCAGGTTTCTATCAACTTTATTTATTGTACTTTATTTGCATATATAATCTTTTAAATAAATATGAAACTTCGTCTAAAGTACTAAAGTTATCGTGTTTACTCGGAAATAGAGTAAGGTTAGCGGAAATCGTCAAAAAGTAAAGGAACCTACACAGTTATACGTATGTGAAATTTGGGGGTACATTTTTATAAGTTCTATGTTCTTTCACATTGGCTTTCCGAATCCCTAACTTAAATTATGCACCATCGCGGTTGGATAGGCAGGCTCAAGGACGTCCTACAGATTTGGATACAGAATCGGAACTGGAGATTTACGGAAGAGCAGACGTGCGCCCTATCTCCTCTCCCCAGATCACACTATCCCATCAACATTTATTAAATCAGATGGAGTTTGTAGATTAGAGAGTTCGTGATCTTTTAGAGGTTTCTCTATCATTCCCATCTAAATCCGCCAATGTATGTTTTAGCTTACATTTTTATTTACCTTATATGTTTTTACCAATGTTATTTAAGTATCTCTTGGTTTCTGTTGGAAAATAGCCGGCTGTGGAAAAGGATGGTGGATGGATAATGCAAAGAAAGTGTGTCACCCATGCGGTCCTGGGTTTTTTAATGACCAAGAAGTTGCCAACGAGTGCAAGCTGTGTCCTGAAAACTTTCTGAGAGCAGGGTGGGCCGCAATGAGTGTTGATGAATGTCTCCCGCGAGTAATTCGGCAGGGATGTAAGTTGTTAACAATGTACGGCCATTCGAAATAGTTTTTTTTTCTTCTTTAAAGCTCAAGTGTTTTGCCTGAATTTTGTATGGAAAAAAATATTATATAGGCCAATCGGTTTGTTTTCCATCGGTTTTTCTTGTTGTTGTAAATCTGACTATCATACTGTGTGTTCACTATGCGATGTATAACTATATTTAGGTGGATACATACAGCTCTTGACTTGACTGCTATGGATGTTTTGTTATCATATTTTTATTGCAAGCACAATCAGCTCGAAGACTGAACAACACAGACAACTCATAATATTGTGCCTACATAACATTTCACTTAATTTTTTTCTCTAATTAATTAAATACGATCGGCGTGAAAATAATAAGTATGGTGCAATAGTTTTAAAATAGTCTACATAATTATTGACTTAGTTATACTTATAATAAGGTATGACTAGATGAAGGTCAACTACGTTCTTTCATTAACAATTTTTAGGCTGAAATATTTTATTGTTAGCCTATGTATTTTATTTTCTAAGACTGATGTTAAATTTTTCAGTTGTAAACTACAAAGTTCGATATGGTCTTCTTGTTCCTTGTGTTTTCATGATGGCTCTCACTTCATTTGTTGTACTGATCAGCAAGTAAGTGTTACTCGATTATTTCAGCCGGTGAGTTATCCAATGCAGTGAAAAGCAAACTTTAATGGTTCTCAAACTTTTTTGATGTACCGAACCCCACCCGCTTCATATGGGCATTTTACTGGTGGACAAAATGAACCGTGTATCAACATCACTGTGTTGAAAGAACAAAACCATTAAAATATAATTTTCACACAAGAACATAATGAATTTGACTGCAGATCAGGGTGACATCTCCTGTTGCTTTTCAGAAACCCACGGCTCACTCTGAGAGCATTGTGTTCTTGTATTTTACATTTCCATGTAACGGAAGTGTTCTCTTAGTTTTGCCGGTTTGTAACGGACACCTATCTACCAGCCAGATAGATGGTGAACGCTCCCGGATTCTTTCTTGGGGTTATATGCAAATGACCTAAAGCCTAAATGAATGAAAACTAACTCAACAACTCACTAGGGCTCGATTTCGAGGTCTAGGGAAAACTAGTGAAACTATTGAAGTTAACAACTCATTCAATCTGCATACAACTTTTAATAAGTGAACAAAGTTGTGGCAGAACACTAGGTTAAACAAGATAAAATATTTAGTTTAGAAATAACAAAACCCAACTTACAAAGCGTAAGAATAAATACTATCACAGATTCTAACACTTTATAAAAATAGCCACAGTTCACATAACACTGCTATAGCATCAAGAATCACTTGGCCACAAGTAATATAATACTAGGATACTTAAACAACTGAATACTGCACGGCAACACACAGGACTTATGCTCTCTCACATTCAACTGGTCAAAATGGACTGCCTTGAGACACCTGTGGGCGATCTATTTATAGACTTAGGTAACATGGAAGGTCACCTTCAGATCGTAAGACCATTGGTTGAGGTGGTCATCTGGTCTGAAACAATCAATCATCTCTCGATGGAAAATTTCTGAGTCTAAGACTCTCTTAGTAAGACAGCGGAAAAAAACCGGTGGTTGCACCACAAACCATATATGGTATTATAACAATGTCAAACTAAAAATAAAACATTACTAGACCTAAGTAGGTCACAGGTTTTAGAAAAGAATCGCTCAACTTGGCATTACCAATGATTCAGTTCGGACGCTAACTCCAATCAAGTTCTGTTAGATATGTGAATCTATATTGTACTTTTTAGTCCGACCATTTTTTAATTGACATAGTAAGCATGAAGGGGATAAAATATCAAGAAAGAAATCAAACTACGTACCACCGCGATAGTCACAAGTCAATACTATAAAATAATTTTCGTCGCAGGCCTAAATACACGATCAACGCTAATTTGTGTAAGCCCTGCTAGGGGGGATACCTAAAATACCTTACTAACTACTGTCCGGTCAGTGCAAGCCCGGCTAAACCCAGACTGGTTAATAACCTAACCTTAGTCTAAATAATAAAACTACTAAAAATAAAACAAAAACTTTAACAATATAATAAAATTTATTTACCAAAAATATGGAACCAAAGGAAAATCACAAAAAAGAATAGATAAAAACTACTGACACAAAACAGACAAAATAATGTATATCCAACACAACAGGACAAACACTATGTGCAACAAAACAGAACCAAACAAAACCAAACAGACTTAATGAAACAAAACACCCAATTTCGGACCACCGTCCTAGAAAGAGGAAAAATAGACAAATCAATTTCAACATGTAAAAAAAGTTATACACAAGGCACTAAGTTGACACAATTGAAAATAAAATGGATATTGTAGAAAATGAACTTTCAAATGAAAGTAGTACAAAGAACACACTTAAACGTAAATATCAGGTCACTGAGCATAAAACTACTAGTTCAATGCACACAATAAACAGCCTCGACAAGAGGTTCTCATAAAATATGTAAGTAAAATCTAGAGATAGATTCTCGATTCTCTAGATCCATGACTAAAATCTAAACCCAGACCACCATACTACCACGTGGTCTAGATACATCCACCATTGAGATTTCTCAAAGTCGAAGTGACTAAATAGTACGTAGTCACTTCGTATATAAAATAAGAAAACCAGTAAAAGGAAACCATAATAACAGTATAAAAATAGCTCTACTTTACCATACACCACATAAATGTGATACAGAAACACTTCAACACACAGGCCTCGACATTCCCGCTGAATGTCCCTCCCTGTCCACACACCACATTCACGAACAAAAAAACAACTCTACGCACAATAAAATAGTCCCTAATCCAACAATAACTAACATTCAGGACATAAAGCAAAGTGGAGCAACAATCCAAAACAAAGTTTGCATAAACAATAACATTAAAATATAAACAAGATACAATAACCAGGCTACAAACCATTGTAAAATCAAAATCATATCAGCGCCATAATAGCGGACTACTTAACTAAAATCCACAACAATCCTCAAAGGAACACAAAAAGTGACATTCACCTTTTTGTAATAAAATAATAATTAAACAACTCCCCAGCCCCTTACATTTGTGTCGGTGGCTTTGATAGGATGTGTGTTATAATTGGGTTCTAATGTGTACCACAATTATGCAGTGAGAGGGTAGAACTACTTGATCCAATATTATATTCCGATACCACTACTATTTCATTAAGTCTAGCCATGCAATAGTGTATCTTGAGACACGACGACATCACCAACGCTTACAAATGATTTGACAGAATGACCTTGGTTGCTAGTTCTATTTATTGCACTATAAGAAATAGACATCGGACGACTTGAACAAACGATACTAAGACTGGACAACCTAACCCTAACATAACACGAACAAGACTAATTCAAACTTCTTCCCCGGCAACAACGAACTCACACTAAAACGTCACACTTTCACTCGTTTAATAGTATAGCTTCGCACCAGCATTCATGCGCACCAATTTGTCTAGTCAAACATACATCATAACAATGTGTAAAGTTTGGGTCATGACATCATGGGCTCCAAGATTCAGACATGTCACGACACCGATTCGTGTTATCTCGCTGCGGCGCACTTAAAGTCATGCTGTCGCACTTTCGTATTGGAACAATCATCGGCTCGGCTGCTAGTTCTATCGTCCGCAGTGACAAAATCCACTCGCAAATAGTATGAGTTGGATGCGTGTTTTGACTTCCGACGAACCCCTAAGACAGACTCACTGGACCCCTGGGGTTCACTGGAATCCAGATTAAGAACCCCCTGTTGTAGATAATGTAGTAAAACAGAATGTGTATGATCTCAGCTAAAAGTCATTTTTATACGCCTGGATAGAAAATAAAATGTGTGTTTGTGTGTGTGTGTGTGTGTGTATCGCGGAAGGGGGAGGGAGTTTTTAGTTAACGTACAGTTGACGAGGGGTTTGAGGTTTAAGTTTAACTGCTGGAAGTCAAGAATGTTTATCGCATTATATGATATGGGTCGGATAAAACCCATTTTTTTTGTATAATATGTGAACGATCCCATTGACAGTGATATCCCTCCACAGAATCATCCTGCTCAGATATGAAGGTACAAACTGATAGTGGGGTAGCTAAACAAAAATGATTACTACGACTTTTCGAAAACGTAATCTGAATCCCTAAAAGAAGAGTTTTCTTAATTATTTATGAATCATGGTAATTAAAAAATCATAAAATAAATAGTTTCCTCTTTTGTGTTATAACTGTTTTTGTTTTAATAAACAACATTCTAACTATGCACATTAAGGAGTAATATTGCAAAGTTTATTCAGAAAAATAATGTCTTTTCTATTCATATTTTTAAAAGCAATTTATGCTGAACATTATTGCTCAAAGAGAGATGGGGGTGAACCAACGCTACCCAAAAACGTTGCTTTTGGACTTAAACATAATGTTTAATAAAATATACCTACACCATTTATTACGTCGGCGTAGCTCATCTGACCCATTAACCGCCATGAGTTTGATGAGAAGCAATGCTGTTTCTGTTAAATCAAGTCTCTGATATTTACAACAAGTTTTACGGTGACGAAAGAAGTCAACATAATTTTCAGTGTTCTCGAAATGATTCGTCTATAAGGAGATCCGGACAAAAGACCGACATGGACAAAAGGCCGAAAGCTAAAAGGCCGACTCGACAAAAGGCCGACAAGATAAAAGGCCTACAAGTTTTATAAAACAACAAATTAAAATTACAGACGTGTATGATTTTTATTGAAAACCAGTTATAATGATAAAGTTATATTACAAAATAGAAAAAAAATTAGGGCCTATTACGATAAATTGTATTCTATGCCATGTACAATGTCAAGTCTAGTACTGTTTTCTCTTTATGTTATGACATTTTTTACCCTGTCCTCTTTCTGTAAATATTCTTTTTTTTTCTCCTTTTTTTATGGCTCATCATGCAATATTGCCTCTTTTTGTTCTTGTTTTAGCTATTTTTTTTGGCAAACAATAGACTCCATGTTGATCTTTTCCGACGATTACCTGCCACCTCCTGTGCCACCCCTCATTTGTGTGTTTGGGTCCTTGGAATCCCATTTAGATAATTGTCATAGTGTCTTTTATTCTTTTTGCAGAATATAGTGATAACGCCACCTATATGTTTATCCTTTTTACACTCACGTCAACCAGAGTCGCATGGACCCCATTGTTCACATTAAAAGGATCACAACTAGCATTGTCTCTTGGCATTCCGCCTTGTTGCGTGCGGGCGATGATGCTGGCAGCTTTCAACTTGGTTCTTTGATGGTTGTCTCACTTCATTGACATAGAAGGAGCTATGAAAAACAGCAGTGACCGCATTTCGCAAAAAATAGGTGTTGATCAGTGTCGGCCTTTTGTCTTGTCGGCCTTTTGTCCTACACCCCTTGGGGGAATGCCAAGAAAATTGCCGGTGACCGACAAAAGTGGAGTAAGCTTTCTGTGGCGACCCCGTGAGCATAAAAAGGTAAAGATGATGATCCGAGCACCATGAAAGTTTGGGGAGTTGATGAAAATACTTGGGATGGCCCTATTTTTCTTAATAGACGCTAAGCGACCAGAGTTCCAGAGCAGCTATCTTAGTACTTGGTATCCGTTGATTGAACGTCAACTTAGCGGGTAAGGGGTACTACAATATGCAGCGGTAAAACTGCAACAGGAGCAGACGCCGGCGTCACAATGATTGCGTGACCCGAAGCGTCCTGGTCTCCCCTGTGAGCACTATGGCGCCTACGTTTAAAAAAAGGCTATAGGTATACACTAAAGACACAATGGGCAACAATAATCATTGACTATATGAAATCGAGCGCGTCCTCCAACGCTCCGACAGGGGGTGATTTGTCGCCCCAGACTCACCATGTGAGCACTATCGTGCCTACGTTCATTTTAAATAGTGCTACAGGCTATGGATAGGATGGGTATTGGTTGCTAAAGACGCTATCTAAATTGAATCAGGCGCGACCTCCGGCGCCCTGCAAGGTGTTATTGTGCGCCCCGGGCTTCCCGTGAGCGCTATGGACTATGGCTAAGATGAGGTATTATAGTCCTTTAATAAATCGAATCTGGCACGCGCCAGGTACCCTTCAGAGCTGGGTTGACTCATGGACGTTCTACGGGTACGAACCAGAGATTCAAACGAGATAATTTCTGGTTAGCAGTCGTATACTCTTAACATCTGATAACACCGTCTAATCGGGTCAAGCAAGAGTATGGACATTTTTTTTGAAATGTGTTAACAAATACCCTGAATAACGATGTAATTTAAACATTTTTGAATTCGCACTATTACGTAAGTAATTGAGTAGGCCTACCGGTTAAGCGATTATCTGGCTCCATGTTCGTCTTCCTAATGAACAATTTTGTGAATGGACTTAAGTGTATGGAGTGAGTTTGAGAGTATGTGTGTAGTTGAATGGAGCTAATAAAGTTGTCAATGGTTTGAGAGTATGTGTGTAGTTGAATGGAGTTAATAAAGTTTTCGATGATTTGAGAGTATGTGTGTAGTGGTGTTATTAGAAGATTATGAATGCGTAAAAAAGGAAATAAAGATGTGACGTAAGGAAGAATGTTTTGGTTGTTACGAAGATAGTTGGAAGTCAGTCTTGTTCTTGTCGTCGTCATGTGAGGTTGTGTTAGGAAGTCTTCGTTCTGTGTCTGCTGTTGATGTAGTTGTATGGATTAATGTAATAAAATTATGGAAAAGGATAGAGTCGCCTTGTCCCATCTATATTCCATCTATACCTCGTTCGTCACGCTCAGCGTCGACCCTTGTGTACAAACTCACCTCGCAACAAACAAGACATATATTTTAACTAGCCGTCCCGGCCAGGCCCTGCACAGGCATCTGTGGAAAACCTATCTGTAAAGGACCATGACATGTGTGTTTAGTAATCAGCATATAACCGGCATTACCCACCCTAACTACAACCAAAAAAAAAAAAAAAAACGCAAACGTAACGCAAACACAAATATCAAACGCAACACACATATAAACACAAACGAAAACACAAACGCAAAAACAAACCCAAGCATAAACACAAAGAAAACACAAACGAAAAAGCAAACGAAAACAAACGAAATCCAAACGCAAACCCAACCACAAACGAAAACCGAACCCAAACACAAAGAAAACACAAACGCAAACATAAACGCAAAGTGCTTATTGTATACCCCGGGACGCCAAATCGCACCATGTTGGGGCGCCGGCGGAAACGCCTGTTTCAGCTTAGTAAACGACTTAAATCCCCCAACTTATTCATTGTCTTTTGCAGTCACTTAAACGAACGTAGGCGCCAAAGCGAACACGGGAAAGCCCAGGATTTGATTCACTTAAAGACAATAGTAATATTTTTTATCCAATTGTTTCTTCGGTAGTAAAACTTTATACTGCTGAATGTTGTGTTAAAAAAGTCTGCTTAAAAAAAGGGTACGCACTATGGTGCCGTAAAAAAAGGCAACAATCAGCATGTTTGGTGCGACCGACAAAAACGAATTCACCTTCGTGCGCAAAAAAGGACAGAAGAAAATGAATGCGCAAAAAAGGACACAAATAATAACATGCGGGAATTCCCGTTCCCGAATAAAGATGTCTTTTGTTACTTTAATTGTTTTTGATTAAAAATAATAATAAGAAAACTGTACGTTCAGTGTATAAATAAATAAAATGCAGTATTTAAAAATACCTACCACGTTTTCACTTGATGAAGCCACGCTAATTATGTAATTTTTTCCCAACACCAAAACAAAGTAATAAAAGGTTCATTTTTTCCTCCCGATGTAATATTTTCTATAAAGGGAAGTAATTGTGTTTTCATAATTTTTCAAGGGACGTAAGAAGTGCTAGAGAAATAAATGTAAATAATTAGAGCTTTTGTGAAAGGTGATACATTTTTTAAAAACTTTGTTTGATGAACATGCCAACAATCATTACCATAAGTTTGAAAATGAAAATTGTTTTACATCTTCATTATTAATTTTTTAAATTATGAATTTAGACGATGAGCACTTTAGACTTTGGAATCCTCGGTCCGCCCGAATTGAACTTTATATATTAGATGAACATAATATACTAAAACAAGCGTGGGTGATTTCCCCTAAACTTTCTCGAATCTAATATATAAAGCTCAGTTCTGTAACGCATGTTTGTTTGTCGCTGGTTATCGATGGATTTAAGTGTTAGAAAATTATCGTGCGCGTTGGTCTAAATTTATGAGTTAAAAAATTACTATTGAAAGTGTTGGGAAATAATTTTCATTTTTCAAATTATAGTAATAATTGTCGGCATGTTCATTAAACACAAGTTTTAAAAAAATATCATCTTTTACAAAAATTCTAATTATGTATTTATTTAGTCCTATAGCGCTTACTTCCCTTGGATAAATTAGGCAAAACACAATTACTTCCCTTTATAAAACCATTGCATCAGTTGAAAAGCATTTACTTTTTAATTACTTTGTTTTGGTGTTGGGAAAAAAATAATTACATAATTAGCGGGGATTGATCAAGTGCAAATGTTGTAGGTATTTTACGGATAAGCTTGGAGTATTATAATTGTTCATTAAATTGAAACAGGCGCGTTCGTTTAAGTGAGTGCAAAAACTATGAATAAGTTGGGGTACTATAGTCGTTCATTAAGCTAAAACAGGCGATTCTGCCCCGGGCGTTTATGTTCGCGTTAGTGTTTTCTTTGTGTTTAGGTGGGTTTGCGTTAGTGGTTGCGTTTTGATTTGGTTCGTTTTTGTTCTTTCTTTTTTCGTTTTTGTTTGTGTTTTTTTTGTTTGGGTTTGTATTTGTGTTTTTGGTTGGTTTTGCGTTTGGATTTGGTTTGTTTTCGTTTGCTTTTTCGTTTTTTTTTTTTTTTTGGTATTGGTGTTTGTGGTTGGGTTTGTTGTTAGGTTTTTGTTTTCGTTTGCTTTTTTGTTTGTTTTTTCTTTGTGTTTGTATTGGTGTTTGTGGTTGGGTTTGTTGTTAGGTTTTTGTTTTCGTTTGTATTTGTAATTGTGTTAGCGTTATGTTTGCGTTTTGTTGTTTTGGTTTTGGTTGGTCGTTTTTCACAGAAGCCAGAGCAGGGCCTGGCCGGGACGGCTAGTATTTTTATATAACACTCAGGATTAAACATGATTCCTACCAGATTGTTAATTACTTAAACTTTTTTAAAAATTCATTAAAAAACCGTTTTAA